AGAAAATTCAGAATATTTTTATCTGATCTATAGACATGTCTTATAAAGACTTTTGTGTATGTATGTTGATATTTAATCTATTCTGTAAAAAAACTAAGTCACATTCTTGTACTGAAAACAGAGACTGAAACATCACATTGAGCAATTCACTTAAAAGAATGTTTTTTTCAATGATATGACAAAACTCTTCTATTACAGAGTGAAACTATCTGTAGGAAAGATTAATTTTCTTCGAATTTAGACCGAAGCTATATAAATATAAAATAGAAACTTGGAATATTTCTATTTCGATTCTATCAGATCGACTGTTTTTTTCTGTTGGTGACAAAGATCCATTTAAAGCTTTTTCCTCCCTATAAGGATAATATAAATAAATACTGCTTTTAAGTATTATTATTGACTTCATTAAAGAAATGTAATCTGTTGTCAAAGAAGAAAAATACATGTGACGAGATCTATAAATAATTTTCAGTACTCATCTAAGACAATAACAAAAACAAATCGAATCAAATTTTATTAATATTAGTCCTAAAAGTTTTGTCTCTATGCATTAATATTATATCATTAATATAATGCGCTTTTGTTATTGTTTTAGATGAAAACTGAAATATCTCCACACATATTTTTCTTACTTGATAACACATTATATTTCTTTAGTGAAGTCAATAATAATACCTAAAAAAAAACAGTATTTGTTTATATTATCGTTATACGAAAAAGAAAAAAAGCTCTAAATAGGTCTCTATCACCAACAGAAAAATCAGCCCGTCTGATAAAACTAAAGTAGAAATCTTCTAACATTTTATCGTCATATTTATCTTGATCCATCATGTATCAATTAAAAAGATAAATCTACTTTTTTTTTTATTTTCTGAGTAGAGGATATGTGTGTGCAGAATCCTGCACCAGGACAAAATTTTCGTTTCACTGGCAGATTCTGCACCTCTTTTGGTCAAGAATATCATTTTTATGACATTCTAGGTTGAAATAATGATGTTTCATTAACTATTGGAAACTCTTTAACATCTCGACTTATTCGTATCATAGTAAATATTAAAGAAATGAGAGACGTTTTCTCTCTTCTTAATGTAATTAAACTTAAAAATGATATTGGTATCAATGAAAGACCAGGAACGTTTGGAACCTTTTCTCTTCAACTAAGAAAACAACGATGTTTTCATGTGGAATATTGGTCAATTGTGGAACACAGAATTAGTAATCACTACTATTAGTTTCAGTTTTATTGGTCAAACTTTTGTCATAGTTTCATACTCAACTAAATATGGTTTCTTGCGACTTATAAGAATTAATAATCAACAATAGCTACAAAAAAGTATAAATAAACATTTGCAAAAAAAAGTTCTCTTCATGTATATTATCTTTCGTTAAAGTGCAAGTTAACATTGTTATTGTCATCATTCTGCCTGAAAATTTATTTTGTTTTTTTACCCTATAATAAATATTTGTAAAAAAAAAATAACTATCTTGATTACAAACATCGAAAAAAAACAATTTCATTTTTCAAACAAAAAAATATAATCAGCATTAAGAAATTTTTAAATTCATTTAGTATCTAATCGACTTTCACGATCCATCACTGATTGAGCAAACGTAATCACATATGTTGTACCACGATTTCCTTGATGTGTAAGAACTTTACATTTCTATATTTACATAAAATACATATGATCATTTATTTGAATAATTTAAATTCAATATTACATACAAAACCACTAGTAGATAAAACACTTTCAACAATACCAGCAACAAATGCAGCACAGTTTAAATTGCCTGAACAAAATAAAATATTTATTTATGTCCAATTTTTATTTATTAATTATTCTTATACCTTTATCTTTAGGAACAGAAATAAATTTATTAACAAGACATTCACGTTCAATGATATAATCTTAATAAATATATTTAGTAGATATATTATAATATGGATAAATTCTCAAGACATACAAACATTGGGTTCTTGTGCATGTTGTTCAAGATTGTCAGCTTCACGATTGAATAAAAACTATATAATAATAATAATTTGATTTCAAATAATTTTTATATTGTATTCGACTTACTTTCCAAAATGTTTTTTGAATAAATACAAGCATTGGTGTAAGACGTACTTCACGTTTGTCTTTTGCAACACGTAAAAAATATAAATCAAGTATTCGAGTACCAACATGATGACCCAAATCAGATAGTCTATATTATTCATGTTATATTTGAATTTTACTAGCAAACAAAAACAAAAAAAGAATAAGTTACTTGGTTTGAAGATCATATATATTATCAACACGATTTTGTGAATATTGAACCATTTCAGAAAATAGTAAAGCAAATGTACTCAAGTTGATCTTAAGAAAAGAATAAGATTTTCTTAACAATAATTTTTTTCTTTCTTTAACATATATAATTTACATCTCCTCTTGTTTTTTGTAAAGATCGATCCAAAGCCGATGATCTTAAATATGTAGGTGCTTGCATGGACATTTTTATTATTAATATCTAATTGAATATCAAATTATAAATAGAATAGGAAAAAAACGATAGATAAAAAAATGCTTTCATGTTTATTGTTCGTATTCATCAATGTCTGTGCAACGTATGAAATCAAAGCAGCATTTAGTAAAAATATAAACATAGTGTGCTGGTAGATTTTGATAACGAATCGTGAAAGACTTTGTTTGATAGAGGTCAGTATAAACCAGATGTTCATCAAAATAGGATACGGTTTTATATTGTTGAATATCTAAGTCGATAAATCTTACGAAGTTTAGATGATTTTAACAAACATATTCAATAAAAAGAAATTTTTTCCGTTGTTTAAATGTATGGAGTAGAGTGGAGCTATTATGAATGCATTTTCAACACTCGCAATTTGAGGTCTTATAACTTTTTTATTTTTTAATATTTTTATGAACAAAAAACACTGAAACGTAGCCTGAAGTATTCTGTGCATGTTGATCTGAAAATCTCTAAAAACTATCTGTCGAAAATTATTCAGCACCTGTTTTGCTAGAAGCTCCATGAGTTTTCCAGAATAGTCCCACACCGGGTTATTATGAACATTTGCTGTATACTGTGGAGCAATTATGAACACTCAGTCAAAATAGCAAGCAAAATTCGACTCCATTCGAAATTACTTTAATCATCATAGGAAAAAGATTAGTTAGTAAATTTTTTACAACTAGATAGCATCTTTTACGTTACAATCACTAAGATTCGTTCATCCATATCTTCTATTTTCGCGTAATAGTAATCAAAATGATAACAGGTAGTTAATATTAAAATAATTTTTTTTTGTTCATAATAGCCTCATTGGAGCTATATAAATATAAAGCAGATATAGTGGGACAATTATGAACACTGTGCTAAAATGCCTATAATATGCAGATTTTTACAGGTGATCACTTTTCAAGCAAACTAAGCATTATCTTAAAAAATTTCTGAAGAAGAATTTATAGAGAATAAAATTCGGAGCAGTCCAGTACGAAATTATTTGTCATTAAAATAAACAATAAGATTATTATACAACATACATGAAATTTTGTTTATTCATGAACACGTTTTTAGTGAGATACTTTAAACTTATCATAAACTAATTTTTCAAAATCGATGATAGAATTCATTGAAGAAGTTGACTAAAATATTGTTGGTTAAATATCCGAAAATAAATCTTTATTATCTTCGGTTATCTTTTTGGTATTAATAAGTGGTGATTATTTTTTTAATTTTTGGTGATAATTTTTCGTGGTGTTTTTTTGGTTATATTTGTTGGTGGTTATTCTTTTTTATAACTATCTATGGTTTATCTTTGTTTTGGTTTTAGTTGATTATGGCCCTTGGTTTTTAGTTATATTTTTTGGTGATCCTTCTCTATAGTTCGAACGTATAAGCGAAAACTTCCGGGCCAGCATACACTGAAGAAGATCTTAAAAAAGCCGTTAAATTAATTGAAGTAGAAAAATTGACTTATAAACAAGCTAGTCATGATTTTAACATTGCATTAAGTACTTTATCAACACATGTTTTATATTCACTTAAGACAAATACAGGACGTTCACCTGCTTTGTCAATTGAAGAAGAACCATACTGAGTAAATCTTATTATTACTTTGCAGGAATGGGGCCAATTATGTACATGTAATGATGTCTTAAAGTATGTCGAAGAATATGTAGAAATTATGGATTTGAAGTCTCGGTTTGCTGGTGGAGCCCCCAAAAAAGACTAGTATCATTCATTTTTGAAACAATGGAAGAACGAATTGAAAGTTATGAAAAGTAATTCTCTGGAAAATGCATGTGCTAAAGGTGTCACACGTGATGTTATTGACGGGTGGTTTAATAATTTGTATCATGTTCTGAAGCAGTTAAATCAGTTGGACAAAGCACAGTCCATTTTTAATATGGATGAATTGGGCTTCGCCGAAAAGGCGAGAAGCCGTGTGGTTGTCATGAAACGTGATACGAAATATGCCACTCAGTAAGTAAATCTTATGTTTCACTCTATTGATTTTTACTCATTCTAATTATATGATGCTTATCTCTTTTTATAGAGTTCAAGGAAGTAGTGGTAGAGTTTATACTACCGCCTTATTAATAATATCAGTGAGCGGTATGTGTTTACCACCGTACATCATATACAAATCTCAAAGATTATATACTCGTTGGTGTCCAAAAAACGTAATGAAAGGTGTAATTTACAATAGTACTAAATCCGGATGGACAGATGAGAACTGTTTCTTCGATTACCTGCAAAAGATGTTCATACCGAATACCAAAGATTTACCAAGACCATTACTATTAATTTTCGATGGTCATTACTCTCATTTATCAATTAAGGTCGCACGTTTGGCCATTGAAAACAACATACACCTTCTATGTTTACCAAATCATTCAACCCATCTCTTACAAGCCTTGGACGTTTACACCTTAAAGTACGTCAAGCAACAGTGGAAACAACTGCTTTGGGAACGAAATAAAAGAACGTCAAAATCTATGGAGAAACACGAATTTGTGCAGCTATACTCTCAACTTTATGATTTTGCACTTATACCTGCACATTGCTCGACAGCTTTTGCTAGATCGGGCATTTGCCCATATGATCCATGTGCTATTAAAAATCGTAGAATAATCAAAAATAATTTATCAACAACAGTATCATCATCAAAACAATCTATTCAAACATTATCAAATGAATTAGATTCATCACTACGATCGAATAATGAATCAATAATTCAACGAAATAGACTAGCTCGATCAAATTAAGCTCCAAATTTACTTAGGATTATCCAAAAGTAGTGAGCCTGATATTGCGTTTTGGTATAGAGCGCTTGGAAAATTTTTCTTTTTTTATGAAAAGATAGAGCGTCTTTCGCTGCATCTTTCTATGCTATTTGATCAGTATTAAACTTATATCATAATAATAAAATTTCGATAAGAACTATTTTGTTGAAAACCAGTTGGTAGCATTTAGATCATAATGGATGTGGTATTTTTGCATTCCACTTTATTATCACATAATATGTTGTGTTGAAAAAACAAAATATACCAAAAGGTGCAGCGTGAAAAGCTCTACGATTTATAAAGTACCGCGTATTTTATAGTTGTACTTTTTGTTTTAAAAATGAACAAAACTTTGAGCTATCAAATTTCGACGTTGCGAAAACGAGATTGTTTTTTTGGTAAAGGATAAATTCCGTTTTTTCTATCTCATTTTTTTATTACTTAATATGTTTTATTTTAAAAAGCAAAATACACTACAAGATCCAGCGTGAAGAGCTCTACAATTTACAAAGAACAATGATACAAAAATAAGATAGAAAAAAACCGAATTCACTTTTTTATCCAAAAAACAGTTTCGTTTTCATCATGTCGAAACTTGGTAACTCAGAGTTTTGTCCATTTTGAAAAGAAAAAGTACAACTATAAAATAAGCGGTACTTTATAAATCGTAGAGCTTTTCACGCTGCATCTTCTGATATATTTTGTGTTTTTTAAACACAACGTATTGAGTGATAATAAAATGAAATGCAAAAGTGTCCCATTTTTTATGCCACACTCCTTATGATCTAAATGCTACCAACTGGTTTTCAACAAAAATAGTTCTTATCGAAATTTTATTATTATGATATAAGTTTAATACTGATCAAATAGCATAGAAAGATGCAGCGAAAGACGCTCTATCTTTTCATAAAAAAAGAAAATTTTTCCAAGCGATCTATACCAAAACACAATATCAGGCTCACTACTTTTGGATAACCCTAAGTAAATATTGGTAAATTTTAAACTGAGTTTCTCAATACTATTTTTTTGTCTTGTTATTATAGATCGTTCAACATCAACAACAAATTCTCAATTTGAAACAAATCCTACACATATTGATACTGATTTTTCAATTCATGATACAACAGCAAATACATATAAAGTACTAGATAAAGTTTTAAATGCAACGAATCCTTTGGAATCAACAACTTTAAGTCATGAAAAACCTTCCACCTCAATAACGATGACAAGTCCTACTGAACACATTCATTTATCTTCATCAAATTTATCTTTTAATTCAACTTCTTCATCTGCTGCATCAACAGATTCAAGTATTCATTTGATTCATCTATAGAGATACCATTTTCAAAAGCATTTCTTAAAATTAATTTTCGGTTCTACTAGATCGTTGTTAGCTGTGGAAGCTATAGTAGCGAAATATTTATCACCAAAACAATCAGCAACATTAAAAACAGCCAAACGTCTTATTAGAAGACCTTATGGTGTTAGTATTACAGATTTAGATGTTTATGGTGAAAGTATCATGAAGCAACCTAAAAAGAACAACAACAAGTTGGTGAATAAAAAATCAACAACTAGTGGTGAAAATGAATCTTCAAAAAAATGTTCAAATAAAACTAAATCTTTAACAGAAAAATTACCTGATGTTCATAATTCACAAATGATTTCTTCTATGAACGACTCTTCATCTCAACGATGCCATTATGATTATAATGTTCTTGATTCTTCATTATCAACTGGTTTACAAAATCCTACATGTCATTTATTGTTCTCTAATTCGACTTCACATGTACTACGACCATTACAGAACGTATCAACATCTATCTGTGGCAATTGCCATCAATATATTAATATATTATATGTAGGAGGTTACTGTTCTCAATGCAACGTACCAATATGCTGGTCATGTTGGTCAAGTGAAAACTTACATTTATTATCATTGTATTAATTGTTGTTCTTTCAATTATGCAAATTCGATAATCTAAACTAAGTTATTTGTTATATTTATAATGTTGTTTTTTTCTTAATGGGCTATTTATCTCATGATCTTTTTATTTGATTTATCTCCTACTCATCTTGCTAGTTTTAAAGAAATTCAATGTGTATGAAAACTTGTAAAACTTTGTGAAATAAAAATATTACTCGATTTTGAAAAATTAGTTTATGATAAGTTTAAAGTATCTCACTAAAAACGTGTTCATGAATAAACATAATTTCATGTATGTTGTATAATAATCTTATTGTTTATTTTAATGACAAATAATTTCGTATTGGACTGCTCCGAATTTTATTCTCTATAAATTCTTCTGCAGAAATTTTTTAAGGTAATGCTTAGTTTGCTTGAAAAGTGATCACCTGTAAAAATCTGCATATTATAGGCATTTTAGCACAGTGTTCATAATTGTCCCACTATATCTGCTTTATATTTATATAGCCCTAATGAGGCTATTATGAACAAAAAAAAATTTCTTAAATATTAACTACCTGTTATCATTTTGATTACTATTACGCGAAAATAGAGAGATATGGATGAACGAATCTTAGTGATTGTAAAGTAAAAGATGCTCTATCTAGTTGTAAAAAATTTACTAACTAATCTTTTTCCTATGATGATTAAAGTAATTTCGAATGGAGTCGAATTTTGCTAGCTATTTTGACTGAGTGTTCATAATTGCTCCACAGTATACAGCAAATGTTCATAATAACCCGGTGTGGGACTATTCTGAACAATTCATGGAGCTTCTAGCAAAACAGGTGCTGAATAATTTTCGACAGATAGTTTTTAGAGATTTTCAGATCAACATGCACAGAATACTTCAGGCTACGTTTCAGTGTTTTTTGTTCATAAAAATATTAAAAAATAAAAAAGTTATAAGACTTCAAGTTGCGAGTGTTGAAAACGCGTTCATAATAGCTTCACTCTACTCTACTTATTGCAAATTCACTCAATAATTATTTTAGCCGAATGAAAGATAGACAATGATTATTTCATATAAAAAAAGTGAACAATACCAAGTTTGAAAACTTGTTTCGCTTGTTTCTGTTAGTTTAAATCGTTTATGAAAAGTACAAGTAATCTGATTACCTAAACCAAACGATATTAAATAGTAGCTTTTTTTTATGTGTATTTGCAATGTATTAAATAGTGGTAGTTGGTTTTTTTTGAATAAACATCTTCAACAAGAAAACTAGTTTTTTTAATTGAATTTTACAGCCAGAGAAATTTTTTTGCAAAAATTTTGCCGTTCGGGGAAATTTTTTATTTTACCGACAGATTCTGCACGCCTGTTTACTGGTGATGTTTGAAGAAGAAAAAACGTATTTTTCCACTTTTGACGTTCAGTTTTAGTTTTTATCTCTATAGAATACAGATTAATTTAAGCTAAGGATTCTTGAAGAAATCATGTGTTTGAGTAAAGAATAAAAATTATGCATATTTACATTGATTGACGTTTTCAGATTTTCATTATCTGAACATTGAAGTAAAATTGCGGACGGTAGTACATATGTTGTACCGTCTGTATTTTTTATTTTCAGTAGAGAATAAATCGTTTTGTTTATATTACCCATAATATGATGATTTCTTTCTCTTCTCCTAATATATTGTCTTTCAAAAATGTTTGAAAAAAAGATTCTTACTATCTATTGTTGTTGTATATATAGCTGTTCATTTTCTCATTGATGAAATAAAGTTATTCTCGATTTTGATATACAATCAGTTAGCTCAGAGTTAAATGTAATGCTATGCAGATATACTTACTGTAATACTAAAGAAATTAGATCAAATATCGAGTGTTTTACTTTGCAAATGAGAAAAATTGTTTGTTTTAATTATTATAACTTTTTTTTAATGAAATTATTTCGAATCAAATACCATAAATCAATTGAAGAAGTACTTTTCAATAGAAAAAAAATTGGACTATGCTCTATTCAAAAAAGTTTCTTCTGTATGATGAAATAAATCGAAAGACATTTTCACACATTGTCCACTGTCAAAACCTACCATCTACAGTTTCACATATTTACACGATTCAGTCATGATCACGTATGCAACAATATTTATATTAGTGATAAGTTAATATATGTCTTTGTTTTCATCACGAGATAGTAGAATACCACTGCATGACCTTTTATTCTTCTCTATAATTTGTTACTTTTATGAAATAGTATAGAATTAGATTTTATCATTTCTTTTCAGACAAAATTCTTCATAAGATAAGTACCTATATGTATTATATCTTGGTTGAGTTTTCTTATATTCTTTTTGTTTGTTATACAAAACCTTATAAATTATAATAAAGAATACAGAAAAAAAAGGAAAGAAAAAAAAAGTAAATAGAACATGAAAGTCAATAAGTCTGTCTTTATTATGGTTTCTTCAGTTGTTTTTTTCGTAAATCTTGATCAATCATTTGTAATAAAATTGTTGAATTATCCGAATTACGTTCAATACGTTTAAGTAAATCATGCATATATTTCACAGCTGTTGTTTGTTCTTCAAGCATTGTTTGTTCAATAAAATGAACAGTTGGATAATCTTTATCATTATTTGCTGCTAAACGTACTTCAATAAGATTATCATATACTTGTCGTTCCATTTGTTCAGCTGTTTGTATCATTTTTGTAAGATCATGCATTGATGCTACTTCATCCGTAATTTTGATATCATAAAAAAGTAATTCACGATTACGTACATTATAAAAATCAAGTAATTTTTTTCCATGATCACGTTCTTCTTCAGCTGAATCAAAAAAAAATTTTGCAAAACCCTGATAAACACCACGTGTAGCTAGACGATGAGCAAATGTTAAATATGTATTTGAAGCAAGAAATTCTTTTTGTACTTGATTTTCATATACATATTTTAAACTATTACCAAATATAAATGGTAAAAAAAATAGAATACTAATAGTGTTGATAAACATTGATGATGACACCATGTTAAAACGAGCGAATATTTATGTAAAATGAAATATATTAAAAAAGAAGAAATAGAAGAAAGCATAGATATCTCTTATCTTATTTTGCTCTTTATCGAAATATCTTTGTTATCCAAAGTACACATGACTTGCACAATCATATGATATTTATGAAGAAGAAAAAAAAAGGGAAACCAGATGATTTATTATTTCAAAACAACAAAAAAAAAAAAGGAAGATAAAGCATAAGTTATTTAATAACTACTAACTAAATCATCATAAGAACCTAATTGTGCATATGTTAGTTCATATTTTGTAATATCATTTAAACCACAATCATCAATAACAATATATTTCTTTGGAATACTTGTTCCTCTGAATGTTTCCATTTCACCTAATTCATATACGAAATCCTTAAAGAGAACAAAAAAATAAAACATACAATATAAATATTATAAATAATAATAATATTTATAAATAAAATAATTCTTTTACCATTCCTGAAATAACACGTCCAAAAGCCACATGATGACCATCAAGCCATCGAGCAGGTACAAGTGTTACAAACCATTGTGCTCCATTTGTATCTTTCCCATAATTTGCCATTGATACCCAACCAGGTGAACGATGACTTAAAATATAATTTTCATCAATAAATTTATCACCATAAATACTTTTGCCTATTAAAATAACAAAAAATATTTTTATATTAAAAAAAAAAACATAGATTCGATCATGAAAAACATTTTATATTTTTTACCTCCAGTACCATCTCCGTTTGTAAAATCACCAGTTTGAATAACAAAATCACGAACAATACGATGAATAGGCGTACCTTTATAAGTATATTTATCCTAGAAAGTTATTTTATATATAATAATATGATCTTGAAATATAGATTTTCAATATTTACCGATCCTCGTCGAAGACCTTTAGTAATTGTAGCAAAATTAGTAACAGTCATTGGACAAATTTCACCAAATAAACCAATTACAATTTGTTTTGTTTTAATTGGTTCAGATATTTTATTTTCTCTCACTGATATATTAAACCATGCTTCATGTGTTACATAAAATTTTTCAGGTATATCATCATCCAAACTATATTTTTCATCATATGCTTCCGTAACAATTATTTGTTGAATAGATAAACATATAAGTAAAGCAAAGATCATTGACATTTCGATTTATCGTTATTGTTTAATTCACAAAACTAAACTTTATATCATATAGTTACATTAAAGTAAAAATAAAAATGAAAACATCACTTACTGTATAATACCGAACAAATGTATAAAATGAGAATGCTCGATTAGAACTAATTTATACCCATCGGAATAATTGGCGACGTGGCAGTTGTCAAGATGATACCACCTCTACTATGCTCAAGAGCCTCTACTTAAGTCGAAAGTATCGACCTTCAGAATTGAAATGAAATGCCAACATGGCAATATAATATCTTGTATTTTAAATCAGAAATAACGATCGATTGAATTCAATATGACTCCTATATTTAACGTCGATCAAACATGGTTCTATTTTATTTCATTATATGTTATTACTTATCTTTTGTTCTCCTATATATATATATTTTTTCTTTATCTCATTCATTTTCGTTTTTGATATAATTTAACATCCAAACTACTCTCAAATCATGACGCTAATATGCGTCTTAATAGATATAAATAATGATACTCTCATTCGAGATCATCGTTTTTTTCTTTTTCAAATACTTGATCTCAGAAAAAAAGTATCATCATTTGTGTTAAATAAACATACATGTACTGTATGAACAAAGGGGGAGAAAATATATGCGAAATAGGACAAAAAGAAAAAAAGACAATAATAGAACGAGAGAAACATTGAAATAAACAAATAAAAATTAAGTTTCAAATCAATATAGAGAAGACCGATGACCGTTTACTGTCGGCAAAGAACAAAAAACAAGAAAGAAAAAAAAAACCGAGCGGATAAGCGCCAGTCCGTTTTAGTGTATGTATATGAAATGAAACGAACATAACATGAAACAATCAAACAGAGAGCGAAAAAAAAATAACAGTTTTCTGTCAAAAAAAAAGAGAGAGAGAGAAACACATCATGTATGTAATAAATGATTGTTGATGAATGAGATTGCGCATCATTAAAAAAAAAAAGAAAGGGATATTGATCATTTAGTTTTTAGTTATTTTCTTTCATGACGTATTGTCCCACCAACTTTGATCTGCTTGACGACTACCATTACCACTCGTAGTTTGTTGTTGAAAACGATCATAACCACCACCACCACCGCCGCCACCACCACCACCTGATTGATGATCACCGGTCCACATATTTCCACCGGCACCACTATTAGATCCATCCCATTGTTGTTGATGATTACTATATCCACTCGTTGAACTGCCCGATCGATTATTATTACCACTACCACCACCTCGATTATTACGTAATTGTCCTGAATTACGATAATCACGAGCACCAAAACCACCAGCTCTAGACAACAAAAGAAATATATAATATTAATCACAATTAATAAAATTATTTACGTACCGTCGACCACCACCATAATTGCGTCTCGAATAATTATCTTTTTTAGTTTCTCTTGCTATACCTTCGAGCCATTCGGGTACTTCTTGATGTGATTCACTTAATATATCAAGTAAATCTGTAGCAATATTACGATTTTTTTCATTGAAAAAAGATGTTGCTTGTCCTAAAATATAAATACGAATAAGAAAAATTTTCATAAAAACAATACTATTTTCTTCTTACCTGCCATACCAGCACGACCTGTTCGACCAATACGATGAACATATTCATCAATATCCGATGGTAAATCAAAATTAATAACATGTTTTACATTTCTAAAATATAAATCGAATAGTAACGCACACATGAGAAAACATATAAACATCATTGAATAGATTACAAACATCCAGAAGATACAAGATACTTTTACAGATTTCTCAGACTACTCGAGTCTATCGATCTTATTATTATGTTTCTCGACTTTGATCAGTTGACTAATGAATTTATTTTAAAGTATCTTTCTTTAATCTAAAATACTTACGGAATATCGAGACCTCGAGCAGCTACACTTGTTGCAACAAGAACAGGGGTTCGACCAGTTTTAAATGATCTCAGTGCTTCTTCACGTTGAGCTTGTGATCGATCACCGTGAATACTGTTCACTGAATACTGATGATTGAATAGAAAATCTTCAAGTACATCAGCACCTCGTTTTGTTTCGACAAATACTAATGTTAATGTTTCTAAATATTTCGATTTAAATTAATTAATTTGATAGAATAAAAAAAAAACAAATTTCTTTTTTTATTTACCAGATTGAATATTTAATAAATCAAGTAAAAATGAACGTTTTTCAGCTTCTTCTACCCATACAATTTTTTGTGTTATATTTTGTGATGTTGAACCTACACGACCAATAGCCAAAAAGACATACTCATGAAGAAAATCTCGTGCTAATTCCTAATAATTTATAAACCATATTTAAACTTAAAAAAAAACAAATTAGCATTAGTAAACCTGAATTTGTTTTGGAAAAGTAGCTGAAAACATCAGCGTTAATCGTTGGCCCATAGGCAGCATATCTGACCGTTCAACAATCTCACGAATTTGTGGCTAAAGAAAATAAACTCATTATTCTATATATCTCATTTCTTAGTCTTCTTACTTCAAAGCCCATGTCCAGCTAAACAAAAAAAAATATAATCAAAAATTATTGATTATAAAAAAAAAACATTTTTCACTTACCATGCGATCAGCTTCATCGAGAACCAAATATCTTTAAATATGAAAAAAAAAACTTGAAGATGGAAAAAAAACTAATAATTTAAATAAATCATACCGAACATTAGCCAATCCTATACGACCTCGTTGTATTAAATCATTAAGACGACCTGGTGTAGCTACTAAAAGATGAGCACCTTTTTCTAAGTCACGTGCTTGAAAACCAATATCAGCTCCACCATAGACAACACATGAACGAACCATAGATCGATAAGAAAACTAAACAATAAAACAAACATATCTAGTTTTATATATCTTAAAAAAAAAAAAAAAAGAAAATTTACTTTTCGTGCTTCATCATAAATTTGTGAAGCTAATTCACGTGTCGGTGCCATAACAAGACAAAGTGGATACTGTTTACGATTATTTTGTGGATTATTTTGTGGATTACGCACAGGTCCTTCTTGGAAGATCATATGCAATATAGGAAGAAGAAATGCAGCTGTTTTGCCTGAGCCTAAACAAAAAAAAATTCCTTCAAATATAATTATTAATTTGTATATATTTACCAGTTTGAGCACAGGCCATTAGATCACGTCGAAGTAAAATAGTTGGTATAGCATAACGTTGTACAGGTGTTGGTTTACCATAATTAGCTAAATTAACATTATTTTTAATAATTTCACCAAAACTACAATCATCAAACTATTTAAAACAAACAAAAAATAATTCAACAAAAAAATTTGAACATAGTTAAAAAATACAAACTGTATCAATTGGTGCATGATCCATATGTGAAGATTCAACAGGAATATCATCATAAAGTTCAAAATTAATACCAGTTGGATGTATACCAAATAATTCTCTATATTGACAATATATACAAAAATTCCTATTGTTGAATTTTTTTATTTTTTGTTTTTTTTTTACCTTTCAAGATTAGCATTTGCTGGTAAAGGTGTATTCCAATCAGCACCGGTTGTATCACCTGATTGACCACCAACATGTGAATGAAATGGTTTATGAGGAACACGATCACGTCGATTATAATTATTATCACGTTGTCCTCCATAACCACTATTAGTATTATTATTATTATTATCTCGATTATTTCGATTTTTATAATTATTCGAAAAATTACTACCACTACGTGGATAAGAATTGTTACCACTATTATTATTATAATATGACGTTTGTCTTTCAGCTAAAATTGCATCCCATCGACCACCACTTGATTGTTGAGATGATGATTGATTAACAATATTAGTTGGATCT